CAGGCCTTAATGCTGCTGTCACTTGACCTTCCCTTGTATCCCAGTCCCTTTAGGAGCCCCACGGGCCAGATGACAGCTCCATCTGAAGACCAGATGGTTGATACCCCTGGACTGGACTGATGCTATGGACTTGAACCCACTCTGGGGCCAAGGAGAAAGTGGTGGGGTGGAGACAGGTTAGGAGGTGGCACCCAATGTCACCGGTGGAATTAGACACTGGAAGTCTCCGTTTCACCCATCGAGGCAGAGGACGCGTGACCTAGTGGTGTCCCCTCCAACTGGTGGACTCCATGAGTAGACTTCTAGGGTCTGAAGGAGAAAACAACGCAGTTCCCACCTACTTCAGTCCTAAATGCTACCTGACAGGAGAGAGGTGTGGAGCAGCCACTATGAGTCACTCTGCCCAAAACAGCTCAGAAAGCCAGCAATTAAAGCAGGAACAGACAAGGACTGGTTATTTATAGTGGCAGCAAACACCCTCTTCCATTTCTCCACTTCTGCTGACCCGGGGACAAAAGTGGGACTTGTTGTGAACTCCCACGCCAGCCTCCCCCCACCCCCAAAGTCAGGCTGTTATAAGAAAACAAGTCTGCGGCCAAACTTGAGGTCTGCAAAACTCCTGTTGGCTTTGCTGGGATGCACAGAGGCATACACAGAGGGAATTTATCTCAGAGCGGCTTGGTCTGGTCTCTCTGGTGCTATCACACGAGGTGGTAGGGGGGCTCTCCCCGCTTTTTCAGTCTGAGCACTGCTGGCCTCACATTTACTCACTGGTTGATGGTGCCTGTGGTGAGAGCGCTGACAATCCAGCGCAGGTCCAGGGTCTTGAAGGGGATGACAATCATGCTGACATTTTCAGGCAGCTCTTTGAAGCTCTCGGGGTAAATGAAGTGATGGGTTGTTTTGCTCCCGACGTCCGATTCAAACCCAACTGTGGGAGCGCGGTTCATCCTGCCGCCGAAAAAGAAGACGAGAGGGAAAAAACATCAGGAGGAGAATTGCATCCATTGTTTCCCTGGGTGCTTGCCGGGGAGGAGGGGGAGAAAAAGAGTCACTGGGCTCAAGTCTCATTTATGTGACACACAGAATAAAGGGGCTTTAAAGTAGGCTTAATTAGCCAGAGGGGGGTAATAAAGAGGCCATCACGTAAGCTGGAATTAGGCACTTGGTTTTTTTCTAATACACTGAAGAATGTGACTGTATATGAGGGGCTGTAATCTGAAGGCAATATGTGCTCCACTTTCATGAAGTCACATGCAGCACTTGTGTGAAATGGTAAATCTTCCTATCTGATGAGCCCAAGCTATGCCAGAGTACCAAACACTGGGCATTTCTTCTGTTCCTGTTTGCTCTAGTGAGTGCCTTATTCTGCAAGCAGTCCCAATGGTTTCAATAGCATGACTCACAAAGTAAGAGGCCGCTCCGTGGGAGGCAAAATTGTGTCCGTTGCTAACTAAGGTGAAAGGTCTGTCATTGCTACACACCTTGGCCTCAGTCACGCTGACGTCACCAATGCACTAAGATCAAATACAGACTAACTAGAGATCACCATGCTTTCACGGAGATAAGCAGCTCTACCATTTTACTGCTGAGAGAAAGGAGACACAAACCAATCGAGGGACTTGCCTGGATCCACACAGTGGCTTGGCACCAGATCCCAGACTAAAACCCAGGTTTCTTGGCTCTCAGTCACATGCCCTAATCACTAAACAACGACATTATTCCATGAGCATTAGCAAAGTAAACCTCACACAATATAAAACTCAGCTGGTTTCAGAGCGTGACAAACTGGAGCGGTCAATCGGGATTCAGTGAAGGGGTGGTGTGAACCTTGAGTGAATCTAGCTCCTTTACAACGGGGGCTCTGAATTTGGGGCTTTCTTTTGAACTCTAAACACAGCCGGGCTCCCAAAACACCCCCAGGCTACGCTTCTTATCTCAGGGTGGTTAACGTGTCTGGGCCACTGGCACATGTTAGTTTTGCCATGTTCACCTCCTGCCTAGTGGTAACACTGATGGGCTGGGTCTTCACTGTGGCTGCCTATACATGCATTTTAATTAGAGCAGTTCCCAGAGAGCTGCTCTAATTAAAACAGCTCACCATCACGTGTATTAAACCCCTGTGTGTTGCCAAGCGGCCATGGGATGCTTTATCTGAAGCTCATTTGACAAGGGCTTAATACAAGTGATGGCAGGGCATTGAGGCAATGCTGGAACAATCCTAATCAGAACGGGAAGCAGACTCGATTAATCTTGAATGATTATTATAACATGGACAAGCATGTCTATGGGCAGCCTGCCTGTGTTTTTACCTCTGGACTGCTGGCGTGCTCTAGTCATCTAAAAACACAGCTTATAGAGCATCGAAGACAGGCGTGCCTGCTGCCACTGCTGAATTGAGCATGGCTCTACATCTCAAGGCTGCACTCAGCACTCTTTGGTTTGTGCATGGCCCCTACTGTGTTCAGCAGGTGCTTGTGTCCCCAAGGGTGGGCACACAAATGCAGCCAGTCAATCCAGAGAGGTGGACGGGTGCTCTTGAGCTGCTCTGGTCTCCACTTGTGCGTGCGTGTTTGTGTCCGGGGGCGGGATCTTGCAAATAGCTGTGTACAAGCTCTGATGCTTGAGTCCATGACACAAATAATTAAAGGAAAGCACACATTCTCACAAGCCCATTTACATGCCTGCAAATCTAGATCCAAATTCTGCTAGGCTTTTGCTCGCATATGGCTCTCTTGAGGTTACGGGCGTGTAAGAAGAGCTGCAGTCAATCAGTTAATGGAAGATTTAGTTTGGGTGTGACTGAAACTATTCCAGCTCAGTGAGCTGGGGCCTCTATGGTGGAACATTTCTGTCAGTGTAAGAAGCAGCCAGTGGATAAAAGAAAGGATGGGCTGTTCCTTATGCACTGACATCATGGCAGGCTTCAAAGGTCACTGTCTCCTTTTTTTGACCCTATATAGACAAAGTTCCAGGTTCGGTGGAAAGCCCCATGTCATCTCAAAGGCTCTTCCTCCTGGGGGACTGCTAGTCTCTATTGCACCTGAAACAAGGGGCACAGCGATTACAGATAAAAGGATCCAGTTCAAAATCACACAACAATCTCCTCCCTCTCAGTGATAAAGGGTTATTATAAAGGGTTTTCTCTCAAAGCAAATGTTACGGCATGCTGCTTCCTCATTACCACCATCAAGACAATTCCCTGGGCCTAAAAAGGGCCTGCAGTCATGTCTGATTGTACTGATTCGAACATATCCCAGACATGACACAGCTCTGGATGGAGCATGGGAGGGGTCCAGATATGTCTGGAATGAAATTCAAGTCAATCTTTCCTCTGAGTCAGTAGTGAATCAAGAGCGTCACTAGGAGTTACCATACTGCTCCTGAGACACAAGCAGATCTTCTGACTGCTGTATTCAATAAAGTTCCCCTGGCCGCTTTGCAGAAGCAAGGTTATTAAGCTGGATATTGTGGGTACGCTCCATTTTGGGTAGTTCGGTTCTGACTACCTAAATTTCCCTGCGCTTCCAGTTCGATACGTTCTTACCAGGCCTGGCGATGCCATCCATTACAAAACAACTGCAACTGCCTGGTTGCTTCCTGCCCTGATTTGTGTTTTGCTGTCCACAGAGGAACTGCTTCTGTTCCACCCCAGAATTGAATGAACTCTGGGGAGAAGTTATGCTAGGGTGAGGGCAGAATCTGATCCAGGGTATTAAAGTTTGTAAAAATTGCTTACCAGTATCAAATGCAAATCTTGCATTTATTTAAAACCATCATATCTGAATGGAAAAGCAGGCACAATTCGCCAGCGCCCAGCATCAGTTACAGAGGTTGCCTCTGTTCCCAGCAGACCGAGGCCAGTGTTTGTACAGTTAACATGTGGGACCACATTCAACCCTTGTGAAACTAGTGCAACCAGGAGTCACACTAGCTCCCAGTAGCTATACAGGGAACTGAGGGAGCCCAGTGCCATGCAGGATCTGAAATGATGGAACCAGGTCCTTCCACCTCCCATGGACTCACCTGAGCACAAAGTCATGGCTGTCTATGTCTTGGCCGTAATGAGATTGCCGGAGGTTCCCGGAGTTCCCCACAACGGCACACCTTCTGCATGTGGAAGAGCTTCTCTCCTGCAGCTGACTGTCATCGCCCGAAATGGTCTCAAACAGCTCCTTGATGGTTTCATTAATATTCTTAGGATTTTTCTCTCCTTGCAGTTTCTGTTGGGAAGAACAGGAGTGTTCTGGGTTATGGATGCTGGGAGCTTCTGGCAGAGGAAGATGCTGCTGACTGCTCCTTAGCTGTGCTAATGGCTTGTGATATGTCACAACACTTCCTGGACTGAGGGGGACAGGATGGGAGTTCCTGTTCCCCAAGAGTTTTTAACCTTATTCCCCCCCCGACTCCCTTCCATATCCTCGCTCTTCACCTGGTGACTGTGGGACACGTGGTGGGACACTCATCTGCACAGCACAGTGCCTCCGGCTCAAGCACCCAGCACTGAATTTAGTTGGGCACATACCTCCACTCCCCAGAAGCTTCGTCTGGTCCCTGAATCAGATTTCCTCCACCGTGACAGCCTGTTCACACCCCTCCGGTGTGAACGAACAGAACAGGCATGGCAGAATGAGCGGAGAGCACAAATCCAGGAGAAAGCAGTGGCCAGGATGTGTAGGGAAGAGGGCAGAGCACATGCTGCTCTGGCTCTTCTGGACTGCGGAGGAGGCGGTTTGTAGCCGAGTGGAGAGCCACTCTAAGTAGAGCAACCTGCTAGGTCTTTCCTGCCTCGAGAAAGTGCCCACTGTCTCTGCAAGGAGATTCCCTGGTAGGGGGGCAGCGTGCTACTGCTGGCAGGAGTTGAGGGCTGCAAACCATATGCCCCTCCCTAGGGAAGTTGTGCTTCTTTTATTTGGGGACCTGGTCTGGACGAGCTGTGAGTTCAGTAGTGCCTTCATGGAAGGGTACCGTTGAACCCATGAAAAGTGCTGCTGTGTGGGTCTTCCTGTGCCTTTCCTCTTTGCAAGGCAGGACGGGGGCTGCTGCATGACCCTTGTCATTGGCTACATGGAGCTTGTGCTCCAAGCAAGCCCCAGGTGTGCTCCAAGCAAGGATCAGGGAAGGGGGACAAGGGCCCCTCCTTCTGTTCATGTGTCCAACACACAGGGCTTCTCTTACAAACGGGGTACTAAACCCTCAACCCACAGGCCAGATCCAGCACCCTGCGCTGTGTTATCTGGCACTCAGAGATCCCCATGGATTGACGGGGAGCCCTGCTACCAACGTGGCCCTGAATGCTAGACTGAGTGTATGTGTCGGCATGGGCCCCCGTCCTGGCATGTGAGGTCAGACGCAGGCAGTGTGGGCCCCCAGGTGCATCACACACTCAGATGCACCTTCGCTGCTTTAATTTGGGAGGCACGCTTCTAAGCCCTGAGGCCAAGAGTTTAACAAGGGGAGATTAGATTTGTATAGGGATAACAAGAATATGCCTAATCACAGCAGAGATCTACGAGGCGACATAACCCTCAAGTTCAGGTCATAAAGATGCCTCTGATTAAAAAGGTCAGAAAGGACCTCTCCCTGGGGGCAGTTTATTTCCTACCTGGTTTCTTATACTTTCCTCTCCAGCCAGGTGCACTGCACGCTACGCACTGCACGCTACTGGAGACCAGATTAGTTGGACCACAGGTCTGAGCCATTATGACAGTGCCTTTGCTCCAACACAAGAAGATCCCTTCTCTGACCACCCTCAATATTCCCTGCGGTATTTCAGTGCAGGAAAGGAGATGGCATGAGCGATTTCTATACTTCCCCCATCTTTGTTTAGGCGGCCATTCTCAGGAGCGGCACCGTGCAGAAGCCAGTTCCACCACTGGAGGAAAGTGGTGAGACTCACCCAAGCCCCAGGAGAAGGCAAGATGCAGAGTAAAGCCAGAGCAGTCGACATTAGCACTGTGCCTGCCCAGCTCATTCTGCCAGGTGGGTGTGCAGGCACGTGCCAAGAGCACAGGCTCAGTGATGTGTTTATAAATCCAACCCAAAATGCATTTTCAAAGCAAATTTCTTCATACGGATCAAAGGGTTTTAAGGACTGATCCTTCAACCCAAACCCACAGAAATGAATGGGGGTCTTTTAATTGGTGTCGCTGTACTTGGCAGGAGGTTCTACGTCTACAATGAATACGACCGTCTCGGAAGAAGCTTGTTCTGGGTTATCTGAACACACACAGAGACATTTCTCTCCTTCTCATTCTGCAAACTTGAATTTGTCCTTAGGTTGCTCAGAAAACGCCAGCTTTTGTTTTTGACATCCAAATCTTACTCCAGAAAGGCATCCTTGAGCCGATCATATACCTCAGAGAATTTAGACCACTGGGTAATTTTTTCAGGACGTCCTAAGCACCTGAAAGTAGAGAGACTGAACGGCATTGTCTTCCCGAGCAGAACTGAAGCACAGCTAGAGGGATGCGATGGGTGTAATGATCTTTTTATGTCTTTGAAGGGTTAAAGGCTGCCTGGAGAATAGAAGAGGACAGGGCCCTCTATATACAAACTCTCCTTTCTGTTCTGCTGGCATGAATCTGGAGTGATTTCACTGAAACAAATTTGATTAAACATGGCTACAGAAGCCAGGAGGAAACAGGAGTGTATTTCACAAGAACCAAGGCTACAATGGTTTCACAAGAACCAAGGCTACCATTACACAACAAACACATCCAGTGCCCCTTAGCAAGTTGCTGGGGCTAGACAAACCTAAAATAGAGAAGTATTCCTGTTCCTGACCCTGCAAACATTGCAAACATTGCTCTGTTTCCACATCCTTATTGCTCGCTGCGATTTGTTTGGTTTTTCTGGACTGAACTTTCCATGCTCAATCTCAGCACAAACCCAATTCTCTCTGGAAAGTCCTTGTACCCGAGTCAGAACAGCAAGGCACACAGTCAACTCAGAACCTGCTGACTCTGAAAACTTTCAACTTTACGTGTGGGAAATTATTACTGAAGGCTGCTTGCTGGCTTGGCTTGACAATCTATCTCAACGTAGCTAAATCACGGGCATTTCAAAAGTCAGGTTCTCACGGATGAAATGTGTCTGACAGTCCCGGGGTCCCCGAGTCAACGCTCCACCACGCTCCACGGCGGCACCTCCCCAGCACTATAATGCTGTGCCGACCAACATGTCCAGAGAAAGAGGGAATCAAATAGTGCTGCTTTCTACACCAGGCTGAGCCTCCGTGATTATAGGCCAGCTGTGTGCAGGAACAGCAAACCTGAAACCTACTCAAGTTTTCAGAAGAAAACTGACTTACAAATAGTCTCAGATATGCATCTCCTACGTCTGAAATACCTTCTCTATCTGTGGTTTTACAATCACATCTTTCTAGAGTCATTTGCGCATGTTTTCCATCTCCTTGATTGCTCTGCGAGGCACGCAAGCAAAAAGGCCAGCTGAAGCAGAAATGCTCTCAGTCAAAGGAAACAGGGGAAACACTCCTCTCCATGTGTTGTTCCTTTTCAGGCCGGTGGCTGGCCAACGCCTTTGGCAAGCGTGTCAGGTTAACTCCAGTGTATGAGACAATGCCACCCACCCTCATAATTGGCCATTTCTGCTGCCCAGTGTTGCTGAATCCCTTTGCTACACGAGCTGAGTTCAGCGGCGTGTACCCCTGTAGGACCCGACCTGGTGCCAGCAGTGACCGCCCCCTCACCTACTCCAGGACCGGTGTTTCTACCTCTCCCCTTCCCCGAGTGCCACTCCGATTCCCATCCCCTCCGCAAGTGCCACGATACTTCTTGTTGCCAGCACGCCCTTTAACTTGGTGCTTGAGACTCACATACTGAATGCACCGGCGTCTGCACCATCTGCATGCCATGCATGCCATGCCTGGGCTCACCGTGGAGAAACAAGCCACTTGTCCCTTGTCTGGGCAATGCGGCAAAGTAGAAGTCAAAAGCTGTCCAAGCTGTCTGCTCTGCCTCCTGGCTGGGCTTGTGGTGGGAGTGGGAATGAGCGGGTAGTGCTTGTTTCTGAGCCCAGGAAAGAGGCAGAGCGGACAACTTGGAAGGGTCCTGACTTCTACTCCTGCCCCTGCCAGTACTGATCAGGCTTTGATCTCCTCCATGTGCAGCGGTCTGAGGTGCTGCACAGCACAATGGCGATTTCACACTTCCAGCCCAGAGCATCTTCATTAAACACTCACACTCTCCCTTCAGCTCCTCTCTCAATTTCTCCGTCTATACACTGTGGATAATCTTGAATATGCCTCACAAAGCTGCTGTCAGGACTGATGTTTGCACTGTGCTCTGTGCTGGAAAAGTGCTCGGTACGTCTTTCTGTTAATTCTGTAGATTAACACAGTGATGTAATTAGCAGCTGTGCCAAACACTTCTCGCTGAGTTTTACTGCTGCAGCTACATTTGCAAATTTGCTTTGCTTCCTGTGTGTTTAAAAAAAAAAAATCCAATCATTTTAGAATGATTTAGTAAATTAATTTCTAAATCATTTTACAATGACTTTGAGGTTAATGCCGGGACCTAAGCGTAGGTTACCATCAGATAGCAAATTACAAATCTAATCCAGGAATGTGCTGGCTAATGTTCTCCTCCCTTGTTTGATTTGTTAAGTCTTAACAGTAAATCTAATCCAGAACCCACTGAATTCAATGGGAAGCAGCAAACTCTAATGCTGGACTGCCACTCAGGAGTCTGGGGTCTGTTCCTGGCTATGGCCTGGATGTGCTGTTTGATATAGGGCATGGTGTTTTACCTGTCTAACTCTCTGCTTCCCCTCCCTCCTCTTGTCTGCTTTAGACTGTATAGCAAGGGTGGGCAAAATGTGGCCCGCAGGCCAAATGCGGCCCACCAGGTCATTCTATCCAGCCTGCGGGGCCCCTAAAATATTTGGAAATGTTATATTTATCTGCCCCCAGCTGCCCGTCATGCGGCCTTCAATGGCTTGCCAAAACTCAGTAAGCGGCCCTCCGCCCGAAATAATTGCCCTCCTTTGCTGGACAGGCAGTCCTCAACTTACAATGTTTCGAGTTACAATGCTTTGCACTTACAACACTTATAAATTGACACCCTGCTTCAACTTTCGACATCAGTTTTGACTTTACAACATTTGACCCAATGCCACGCCACGCCACGCCACGCCACACCAGTGAACAAGTTTACTGCGTCGCCCATCTCCCCGGAGAACATCTGTCCAAACTTCCTTGGAC